GATTCGAACTGCCGTTGACAACATGGGAGTTCAGTGATATAACCATTATGCCATTTGCTGGTCCCTTTATTTATTGCTTAACTGTCAACTCTAAATCTCCACCTTCATCTATAGTGCCTTCATGGGTCCCAGGTAGACTTAGATGCCTCCTTAAATTTTCTAGACTCTCAGACTACATGAATTTTGGACATTAGCCTGTTTCCTCTCCCCTTTGATCAACTTGGGAAGATGCTTCCCTGATGTTGAGATGAATGGCATTCCATCCATCTGCTTCTCAGGACAGAGATCTTGGCTATCCCTCTTTTTCTCTCGGCGCATGAATTCAGTTACCAAATATGTCAGTCACATTTCCTAACAGTTCTTCCTCCCAAAGGACTCATTAGCTTTCACTGGTTTTATTCCAATCTCCACCTAACAAGGTCTCTCAAAATCTACTTCATCTTCCTCTGCTACATCATCCATGCTGCAGCCAGAATTATTACTATATATCCCAAACCCTGCCTTTTACCAAACACCTTCCTTTATGGGCTGAAGGACTGGAGGAATAAATCCAAATAACTAAAGTCCTTCACAATCTGGCTGCAACCTGTATTTTCTAGCTTGCTTTTCACCACTTCCTCAGTGCACGCCGTTGTCAAACCACATCAGATAGATAAACTCTTACAGACTGGAGCCTTTGTATTCTCTTTTGTCCCTACCTAGAACAGCCTTGTCTCATTGCCACACAGTTTTCATTCATTTCTTTTTTTTTTTTTAAGAGATTTTTGCTATAGGGTGCATGCACTTGCCAAAGTGACAGAGAGATAGAAAGCGAGAAATCACACCACAGGGGGATGGCCACGCTGCAATCCCTTCTCCCCCATTCTCCTCTAGGGACTTTGGGCATGCATGCACATGCACCTGGCATGAATTTTAAGCTGCTGGGTCTGGGATTCGAACTGCAGTTGACGACATGGGAGTTCAGTGATATAACCATTATGCCATCTGCTGGTCCCTTTATTCATTGCTTAACTGTCAACTCTAAATCTCCACCTTCTTCTATAGTGCCTTCATGGGTCCCAGGTAGACTTAGATGCTTCTGTAAATTTTCACATAGTTCTATACATGGGGGTACTTTTATGGGACTTTTTTTACATGACTGGAAGCATTATTTCATCTGGATGGCTCATTACAGGTAGATTCACTGAAGAATAAGTTCCTGGTTGTCTTTGAATCCCGGTGCCTGAAATGGTCAATATGGCAGCATATCTATGGATTTAATGCCTGTGAGACATATTCAGTTTAGAAGAAACTTTTTTAAGTCTCTTTATTTCATCTAGCAAGTGTTTTCCAAGCACTAAGAAGGATACAAGAATGTGCAGAAATGGCCTTTCACTTCTGGAAGCCAGAAAGTAGTCAAGGTGTACTAAGGCATATCCAGGTTGTGTGTGTGTGAGAGAGAGAGAGACAGAGAGAGACAGAGACAGAGATTAAAAATAAGTGGCACAAATAGAAGTACACTAAAACCTGAATGCAATGGACATCTTCTGAATGGGTGAGAATATAAGATCAAATTGCACATTGAGTCTAAAAAGACACTGCTATTCAAGTAGAAGACTGGCTACCTGCACAGTAATCACTAATAAGAAATTCGTAATTAATAATACCACATCGCTTTTAGAAAGAGTAAACGGTAGGTTTTTGAATAATCCTTGAGAACCAGAATATTTTTTATTCACAGAAAGGATACCTGAACAAAGAGTTAATGCATTTAGATCAAAGACCTCACATTAAGACCAAACAATTCTACAGAATAATGATTAATAGAAAGGATCTTTATGCGGAGATCAGATATTTTCCGGGCCCACCAAACACTAATTATGAAGATAAGTATTTTTAAAATATCTTAGAGGAGCCCATCCAAATATCTTAGAAGAACCCTGAGACTGGAACTTCTTACAGGCATTTTCACTCCAAGCAAAATCAGTAAGTTGAAACTGTTTTGTCAATAAGATACAATGGGGATCTTCAAACAGTTCATGTAAAATGGGTACTATGAAAAAAACTATGCATGGATTTCAAAATTTTTGTACCAAAATAAACTCAAACTTTACTTCTACTTTTCCATGAACTTTCTGAAGTACCCCCCATACTGTGTGCGTGTGTGTGTGTGTGGGTGTGTGTGTGTGTGTGTTTCATGTACTTGTATACAGGTATGTGTTTTACAACAGAAAAAAAGGAAAGAGGTTGTTTGCCAATTACTGTAGTGTAAATATTCACATCATCACTGATTTCAAGGTATGAACCTTGATGTCACTGAGCAACAGCTGGGAAGAGATTATAATTGGTTCTCAAAAGTCAGTATGAACTGGTTCCAACACACTATTGTTTTCATGAGTCCTAATTAATAAATCTATGAAAAACTGAAACATTCCATATTTGGAAATGCACATGTCCTATATGCATGTTGAATTAATCTTTGTAAAATTTTTTATTTATAGAGATATTTTTATTTTATAATAGCATATGTTTCAATTCTTGAAATATATTCTATACTGGTAGGTATAGGTAACAGAACACAGAAGGTGAAGAAGTCAGAAATGATTACAAGTATTAGAAAGACAGTGGTATGGGACAAGCAGATGGCGTAATGGTTATGTCACTGAACTTCCACAGAGTTGACTAGGGTTCAAGTCCTGGACCCAGTGGCCTAAACTCATGCCAGGTGCATGTGTGTGCATGCTCAGATTCCTGAGAGGAGAGTAGAGGAGAAAGCATGGCGGCATGGCCATTTCCCCGGGAGGGGACTTCTCATTTTCTGTCTTTCTGTCTCTCCAACGACTGCACACATGCTAAATCTCTCTTAAAAAAAAAAAAAAAAAAAAAGAATGAGGGAAGGAGACTGGATTTAGTCAAAGGGTAAGGGCCCAAAACAGAAGGGTATGTGGGGCGCAGAAATTCACCATTTGGGGAATGCTCTTTATGAGTCAATGCTCCTTTCTCATAACTTGGAAAGCCGTGTACAAAGTGAAGGTTCCTTTTTGCTTGGTCCAGCTGTAAGAAACCAAGGCAAACTAATGAGCCGTTGAATGGACAAGGCTCAAAAACGCCATGAATAGAGTTAGTGTCGGGGGAAGAGGACTATTCCAGCTTCAGGTCGAGAGGCCTGGCTCGGTGAAGAATGGAAATTCTGGCGTGGCTCCGCAACCTCTCTGTGTCCAGGGCTCATGGCCAATTTCAATGTGGAAGAGCCTGATCCAGAACCACAGAATGGATGGCTGCCCCCAAGTGAGCCAGCCCATGGCAGAGGGACCAGCATGGCAAGACGCTTCCAGGAAAGGTGGCAATTCGGTGGTGGCGTCTCTGCCAAAACAAAGCAACTCTGCGATGAGAGGAAACTTCAGCTCACAGGAGGAAAGCCAAACCTCGTAGGAAACCCCAACGGCGATGCAACAGGTTGTAAGCCTGCCTGGCCTGAGTCTGCACACTGGCTGGCTGGGGGGCTGGCTCTGCCTTTCTGTGCAGTTGTGTCCCCCCCACCCTCCAGGTAGGGGCTTCCTGCAGACATGGTCTTGGCTGGGAGCAGAGGGTGTCTCCATTGAGCTGGGGTTGACCTCTGGGCGTATGAAAGCTTGCTCTCACTGCTCTGCTGAATGGTTGCCTAGGAAACTGATGTGCCCAGCTCTAGCATAAAAGACAGGGATGGGCCCAGCAGGTGGTGTAATGGGGTTATATCTCTGGACTCCCATGTAATCAATCACGGTTTGAATCCTGGACCTGGAGGCTTGAAACTCACGCCGGGAACATGTGCGTGCATGCCCAGAATCATGAGAGAAAAATAGAGAAGGAATTGCAGTGTGGCCATCCCCTCTGGGGGTGATTTCTTGCTTTTTGTCTCTCTGTAACTCTCTAATGAGCATAGTTACCCTATAGCAAAAATCTCTCAAAAAAGAAAGAAAGATGGGGTGTGTACAGTCCTTTATAGTAAAAGAGGGTCATTTGAACCCAGGCTTGAACCCTGGCTCCATTGTTAGGCAAGTTACTTAATCCGTATGAGCCTCTTTTGTCCGACCTTCAGGAACGGAGATAACATCTATTTCCAGGGTTGTAGGATGAGATGAGAGGAGCTGCCACTGGGTTTGGCACTGACCCCAGGACTCAGCGCCATGAACGAGTATCAGTCACTGCCCTTTCTTACTTCCCAGGGTGATTTCTGATGCTGAGATCGGCTCTCTACCCCAGGATGATACACGCCCACGGCAGAGACTGGAGTTTACAGGACGCGGTAACAGAACTGATAAGAGCCTAATTACCTGTTTCAGAATCGTGCTAAAAATCTTGGCCTGTAGATGTTAGGATGTAACAAGCCTGGAGGGATGAGGATAAAGGACTGGAGCCAGCAGGTGGGATGGTAGTTAAGGGGCTGGGCTCCCACATAACCAACTGCAGTTCAGGTCCCAGACCCGGCGGCTTGATTTCTCACATTCCCTCTCTCTCTCTGGTCAAAATTTTAAATGATGATAATAAATAAAATTAAACAAATAACTTTTTTTAAAAAAAGGACAAAGGACCAGACTAAAGTGACATTGGTTCAAACAAGACATGTAAGTGGCTCTGTAAGCAACAGGAACTATGGAAGATTCCGAGCAAGCAGGTGACTTGATGAACATAGTGACGGGAACACTATGGAATATTAAGATTCTCTGGAGAGGGACTAGCAGTTGGCGTAATGGCTATGTCACTGAACTCCCACCTAGTCGACCGCAGTTCTAGTCCTGGACCCAGTGGCTTAAACTCATGCCGGACGCATGTGCGAGTGTGCCCAAGATCCCGAGAGGAGAATGGAGGAGAAGGGATTGCAGTGTGGCCATCCCCCCTGGGGAGTGATTTCTAGCTTTCTGTCTCTCTCTCTCTGTCTTTCTGGCAAGCACACAGGCCCTACAGCAAAAAAATCTCTCCAAAATAAAAATAATTAAAAAAAGAAGAAGGAGAAGGAACTATGAATTGAGAATGGCCCTTACCTTTGACCAGTCTCCTGGAGCCAGATGTGGAGGACAGTCCGTTCTGGCACAGGATTTATGAGACGATGCCTTGGGTCCTTGGCACAACTCATCAGAGAGGTTCAAAAGGCTGCCATCCGTCAACAGCTGCCGACAGGTGACCCTTCGATTCTGCGTCCCCCCGCCGCACGTCCTGGAACACTAAGGTCAGAGGAGGTGAGGCGTGGACTTAGCTTTGTGTCGGTGCAACACGAGGCTCCTGAGAGTCAAAAGCATGGCGGGCCGTGTGCACCCAGCCTGCCCTACCTGCTGCCATTCTTCAATGTGCCAGCCAGGAGGACAGTCGAACTGATTGCACGCTTGCAAGGCATGGGGTTTTTCCTCCCTGCATTCCTCAGGAGGGGCAGGGGACTCCCCCGGGTGCAGGCAGTACACCTCGCGGGTCTGGATTCCAATGCCGCAGGTAGCTGAGCAGGGCCCCCAAGAGCCTACGTGCCACCTGAACGAAGACACAAGTGGGTAAAGTCACCTTTCTAGCGGACCACATGCCAGTCAGTGGGAGAACAGCTTCAACTTCTCTGGACTTCCAGACTTCACGCCATCACAGCTTCTCCACCAATATATGCAATTAAAATACACACACGCAGGATTTCTGTTTGTTTTAGAGAGAGAAATTTTTGCAATAGGGTGCATGCGCTCACCAGAGAGACAGAAAGTGAGAAATCAACCCCGAGCGGGGATGGCCATGCTGGAATCCCTTCTCCTCTATTCTCCTCTTGAGACCTTGGGCACGCACGCATGTGTGCCCGGCGTGATTTTCAAGCTGCCAAGTTCTGGACTTGAACCATGGTCAAATATGTGAGATCCAGCAACGTAACCATTATGCCATCTGCTGGTCCCAAGACATAAAGTACTTAAAGGCAAGGAATGCAGGACCGTGTTCAAAGATCTCACCTGCTTGGGAAGCTCCAGAGTAAAAAGCAGTAGATCGATTCCCAGCCTTTCCTAACATCATATATAAAAAATAAAATCGTGATTTCATTCTGAATAGCGTCCCAAGGCAATGATGATTTATGAAAGTGTCGAAGAAATTTCAAATGCTTAAAAGCACACCTCAGGAAATCTTTAGGGCACTAAATAAATAATATGATTCATTTCCAACAAGCTCTTGGAAAAATCAGGTTTTCTCATGAAACATCTGTAAAAATGAAAAACCAGGCAGCTGCTTTCAATACATATGTATTTCCAAGTTGTCTTCAAGGAGGAGTCTTCTAATTTACACACCCACGAAAGCACAGAAGAATCCTGAGTTTCCAACATCCGTAACAATGCTGAAGACCAGCATTTTAAGAAGTCTTTGCCCACATAATGGGTGAAAAATGATATATTCTAGTTGTTTCAATTTAGTAATATTTCATTATTAATACACATGAATGCTTGACTAGCTACTGTAGAAACACATCAAGGAAAACTAATTTTAAAATGTTTAAAATATGCAGAAAAGGATGTTGAATCCAGAGTAGTTTGTAATAGCAAAAAAAAAGTAAATTTTACAAAATGGAAAGAGCCTGTCTACATGTTTAATAATAAAGGGCAAATAAATATCTGTCTAATCAGGGACCAGTAGGTGGTGTGGTGGTTAAAGGTGCTGGACTCCCACATGGTCAACTGTGGTTCAAATCCTGGACCTGGCGACTTGCTTTCTCACTTTCTCTCTTTCACTCTGTTCCTCTCTGGTCAAATTTAAAAATAAACAAATAATATAAATAAAACAATTATTTTAAAAATGTGTCTACTCATATAACACAATGCTAATAGCCATTAAAATACTAAAGTAGTGTAGTTATTGACATAAAATAAATTCACTGTGTGTGTGTGTATAAAATAAAGACGGGGTCTTGCTCTATTCAATCCTTCTGCTTCAGCCTTTCAAGCAGCTGAAACTACAGGCATGTACCACCAAGCCCACCTTTTAGGAAGGGCTGAGAATTGAACCCAGGCCTCCCACATGGCCTCAGCCTGGAAGCAGCAGTTTCTTATCAGTGCATGCAAATGCAGCTGGGCTCATTCATGATGGATTTTTACTAGACAAGAAAAGCGAGTCATAAAATAGCTTAAAAGATTTTTGATTTTTGCCATAGGTTTTTGCATGCACCAGAGAGACAGACAGAAAGTGAGAAATCACCCCCCACCCCCCGAGGAACAGTCATGCTATAATCCCCTCTCCCTCTACACATGCGCATGTGCCTGGCATATTCCAAGTTGCCAGGTCTGGGATTCGAACTGCGCTCAACCACGTAGGAGTCCAGTGCCTTAACCCTATGCCACCTGCTGGCCCGAATAATAGCATTTTTTATTTTCTTTTTTTTGGAGAGTTTTTTTGTTTGTTTGTTTGTGTTTGTTTTTTGCTATAGGTGCGTGCACTCGCCAGACAGACATAGAGAGACAGAGACAGAAAGTGAGAAATCACCCCCCAGGGGGGGATGGCCACGCTGCAATCCCTTCTCCTCCATTTTCCTCTCGGGATCTTGGGCACACAGTCACACGCGCCTGGCATGAGTTTAATCCACAGGGTCCGGGACTCGAACCGCGGTCGACTACATGGGAGTCCAGCGACATAGCCATTATGCTAACTGCTGGTCCCCGGTAACATTTTTTTGAATTCTTCCTGTTTTCTTCCTTCCTGATTTTTATTATAATAAGCATTCATTATTGGTTTAAAAAAATCTCTGAAAAGAATTAGTGTTTATCTAAAGATAATTTTCATCTTTTCTCATTTCTAGTTTGCATTGAAAACATGTTTAACTTGTATAAATAAGGGGAAGATAAAAAGTAAAAATAAATAATGAGGCTGGGCCTATCTCCTAAATCTAAAATCACTGTCAACTTAAGTGAATCCTAAAGAAGTTAGTCAAGAGATTAAAAGGATACCATGTATGTGTTATGGATGGAATGAACTTTGTATGTAGCTAGCAACCTTATCCTCCAGTCTTAAGTTTTTGGAGACAGGCACCTTGGGGTAATTAAGATTAGATGGAGCCATGAGGGTAGGGCCTCCTGATGAGAGATTAGTGCTGATATAATAAGAAACAACAAGAGATGTGGCTCTCTCTACCACGTGAGGATGCAGCAAGACGCTGGCTATCTGAAAACCAAAGAGTCCTCACCAGAAACTGGACCCCGGTGGACTTTGTGGACTTTCTAGCCTTTAGAACCGTGGGAAAATAAAGCTCTGTTGTTTAACCCACCCCGTGTATGGTCTTGTCTTAAGGCAGCCTGACCTAGAACAGTTGTTCCCTAACTACAGAGGTATTAAAGTAGACAATCCCTCAGTATTGAGAACTTCAATCATCTAAGTGACCCATGGGTCAAAGAAGAAATCACAGTGGAATTAGATGGTATTTTAAAGTGCACATTAATCAAATGCCAACATTTCTGAGATACAACAAAAACCGTGATTAGAAGGCTATCGATAACCTTAAATGCATATATTAAAAAGCAAAAAATGATGACAATAATAATAATCTAAGTATTTTCAAGAGGTAAAAAAAAAATAGGACAAAACAAAGAAAAATTAAGATCTGAACAGAAATGAATGAACAAGAAAACAAAATGAAATGCGGGTTCTTCAAAAGCCAACACTGATGTATCATTTGTAAAATAGGAAGAAAAAAGAGAAGAGGCACAGATTACCAAGACCCAGAATTTAAAGGAAGAATCTCAAAGGCATTAAAAATAATAGTAATAGGTGCTGGCAGGTGGCATGGCAGTTAAGGTGCTAGATTCCCACTTGACAGACCACGGTTTGAGTCCTGGACCTGGCCATTCGCTTTCTCATTTTTTCTCTCTCTCTTGTCTCTCTCTCTGGTAAAATTAAGAAATAATAATAATAAATAAAAGTAAATAAATAATTCTTTGAAAAAATAGCAATATAATAGGTATAAAATAAAAATATGTCAATAAATTTGGAAATTTACATGAACTGAAAAAATTACTACAAAAACTAACTTATCAAAAAACACACACAAATGGTTAGAAATCTGAATAGTACTGTACCTATTAAATTAAATTTATGATTTAAAATATTTTAAAAAATTAAAAAAACACCCTTCAATGTTAGAGGGCATCTTTGGTGAAATTCTAATCAACATTTAAGGATAAATAATTCCAACCTCACATAAACTCTTCAGGAAATAGAAGATGGAAAACTTCCCAACTCACTTAGGCCAATGTCTCTAATAAACACAGATGCTCCAAATCCTATGCAAAGTTATTAACAAGTGCAAAGAATATTACATTGTAACCAAGCTGGCTTATTCCAGGAAGGCAAAACTGGTTTAACCTTGGAAAATCAATCAGTGGGCATGACACTGACAAAATGTAGGAGAAAAATCGTAATTTCAATAGAGGCAGAAAAACACTAAATTTCAACAGATATTTTCATGACTGAAACATCCTTAATCTGAATAAGAGGAACCAAAAAAGCAAGTGAGAGGACTGGAGAGGGCAGACTCATGCAAGATACCCAAGTCTTCCAGGTATTTTTTATCATTTTTTGTTGCTAGCTTAGGTTTTCAATTTCCTATTCAATCATTTTCATTTTTGCCACAGGGCAGATAAGCTCTGCAGAGACAGACAGAGGGAATGGGACAAAGCATTTCTCAGTGGAGCACGGTCACACCACAATCCTCTCTTCATTTCTCCATCCTACTGGGACTTGGGGCATGAAAGCACATACACGCTGTGTTTCTCAAGCTCCTGGGGCCAGGATTGAACTGCAGTTGGCCACGTGGGATCCAGTTCACCTTAGTCACCAGGTCAGGGGGCTGGTCCTAATTGCGCATATTTTCAACAAATTTAGTTCACATTCTGTACCTAATAATCCACTATCTGATTTTGTTATTTCCCCCACCGATTCTCTCATTGTTTCTTTATGAGTTTTTAAATTTTGCTTATGAGCTCATGTACCCGTCTTTGTGGGAATTTTAAGCTGTGAGCAGAAGACAATTTCCTCCACAAAGGATTTGCACTACTTCTGTCAAGACCAATGTGAATGAATATTTTTGGATCATACAGTTAGACTGAATATAAATCCCACTTTCATTGGAAGGGCAACTTGTGGTTTTTAGATTCTTAGAGAAACCTTTTTGATTTCTTTCACTCAAAGAGCAAAGTCAGATAGTTTCTTTGCAATCTCTCTTTATGGGGTAGCATTTTTTTTTTCCAGTTTGCCCTTTCACTCAGGTAGACCTTGGCCGTGTATGGGGATCACCACTCTCTTCCGTACCTTCTGCAGGTCCAAGGATCTGTCTGTTTGCAAAAACCATTAAAGTCACAGAGTCTAGGTTACTAGGATTGGCAACGATCCGCACAGAGGCAGTAACTTCTTTTCAATTCTCTTTTTTTTTTTAAACATTCAATCACTATACATCATTTGGCTTGTAAAGAGAATTTTCCCAACATGAAATCCTTCCCAGCCCAGCCCAGTTGAGAGCACTATACATGTTATCATCAACAGGTAATAAACCATTCTAGATTTATTCTTCGGCTTGTTTTGGGGCTTCTGAGGATTTCTCTTACTTTCTTACAAGCTGAGTTCTGCATTCCAAGTTATGTTTTACATATTTTTCTTTTATTCTTTTTTCTGGAGAGGTTTTTGCTATAGGGTGCGTGCACTCGCCAGAAAGACAGAGAGAGTCAGAGAGACAGAAAGTGAAAAATCATCCCCGGGGTGTGTGTGCGGCGGTGTCCACACCGCAATCCCTTCTCCTCCATTCTCCTTTTGGGATTTTGGGCATAAATGCAGGCAGATGCGCATGGCATGAGTTTTAAGTTGCTGGGTCTGGGACTTGAACCACGGTCGACTATGTGAGTCCAGCGACGTAACTAGTAAGCCATCTGCTAGTCTCCAGGTCTAGTGGCTTTTAAGATTTTTTCTTGTCCTCCCAATTTGCTGCTGTGTTAGGAGATTTATTTTCACTTATTTCTACTGATTGTGGGGATGGATACTTTCCCTTAAGTTTTGGTAAACAGTTCGTTTCATATCTTGCCTCTCTGATATTACCGTTATATTTCTTTTTCTCCTTTCCTTTCCCCAAATCTTCAACTTCTTGTGCTTTAATTCATTTGACTTCCTTAGCACTATCTTCAAGTCACCTAGTCTTTAGCTGTCTTTCATTCCATTTTCTTTTTTCATTTCTATGTTTTCTCATTGGTTCTTTTAAACCCATCTATTCTTATGATTTTTCTTTTCTTTCTTTCTCTTCATTTGCCAGATAGCATATGTGCTCACTGGAGAGAGAGACAGAGAGAGAGGGAGAGATAAAGAGCAAAAACGCCACCTCCCACCCCTGCATGGCACACGATAATGCCTGAATGCCTTCTCTTCCATTTTTCCCTCCTTTCAGAACTTTGGGCATGCGTGCCTGGCATGTTTTTCAAACTGCCATATCCAGGACTCAAACTGTGCAACTGCCCATGTGGGATTCAGCCTTTTTAGCCACCAGACCACCACCTGGCCCTCTTATAACTTCTCATTATTTCTATTTCAGCTCTTCTAATTATTTCTATGGCTATTTCTATGGATATTACTTATTAATCAATTACTCCAAAGATTCTAATAACAGTTTAAAGTCCTTTTTGGATTGTTCTTAGAGTATTTTAATTTCATCTGAAGTGGATTCCTCTATATTCATTCATAGCAGATTTCTCCACGTGTTCTGCAATTTCACTGGGCAGGCTTGATTTGAAGGGAGGGAGGATTCCCTCTCCCCATCTCCCTTTATCCTTTTCTCTCTTAATTCTTCCTGAGTATAGTTTTGCTGGCCTCTGTCTAGCCCTGTAGGATCTCTGGCCCAGAACCAGTCCTGATATGGACCATGCGGCAGAGAAGCATGACAAGGACAATGACGAGCCAATTATGGTGCCAACAGGTAGGGCGGGGCTGTGTCTGGTCACAGGGCTCTGTGTCTCTCTGCATTCCCCAGGAGAGCAGCCTCACAAAAGGAGTTCAGGCTGTCACCAGCAGCTTCTCTTCTGCTTATTTCCGGAAGAAGCAGTGAGCCTGGGTCCCTTCTATGAATCAAAAAGACGTTCAGCCCCTAATTCCCATAGGAGCTGAACTTTCCCTCACCCCGACTCCTTGGGGGTGTTAAGTCCCCAGGTCCTGTTCCACGCACTGTTTCACAATGCCCAGCTAGTTGTTTCCTTGTCATTTTAATGCCCCTCTCCCCCTTTTTTGGAGAGTTTTTTTTGCTATAGGGCGTGTGCGCTCGCCAGAGAGAGACAGAGAGAGAGACAGAAAGCGAGAAATCACCCCCCAGGGAGGATGGCCATGCCACAATCCCTTCTCCTCCATTCTCCTCTCGGGATCTTGGGCACACACGCACATGTGACCGGTGTGAGTTTAAGCCACCGGGTCTGGGACTCGAACCACGGTCGGCTACGTGGGAGTCCAGAGACATAGCCATTACACTAACTGCTGGTCCTTTAATCTCCCCTTTTTATACAATGTCTACCTGTATTTGGAGCAGAATGTGAAGTTACAACACTATCTTATTGAGAAGTCTATAAATAAGTTAGACTACAAAGGAGTCTCTCTAAATTCCAGTAGTTTGGGATGTGAGAGAAATCATCAATTATATATATTTATAATCATATATATATATGAATTATCAACTATATATAGATACACACGTGTGTGCATGCATAGGTCATACAAATTTCGATGACAATCAGATTACATGGCTAACTAATTAGAAAGCTTCTGTTTCACTAGTGCAACCATTCAGCTTAAATATGTTACAGTATATGGAATGACTTCAGGTTGGTCATCTTTGTAGAATGTGAACAGCTAGAAGAATCAGTCAGTCACAAGGGCCTGGAGAGGGAACCAAGAGTGGACTTCAAGAGTTGATGGAAAGCTGGAATTGACGTACGAGTTTACGTTGGTGCAAAATGTTTTGGAAATGACAGCCATTTATTTTTTGACCATCTGAGTTTCATGAGCTTTTTGAAGGCCTTCTGTTTTTAGTCAAGAAACAGTGAATGATTTCTTATCAACAATGAACTTATGTCTATGTATGTATCTGTGTGTGTGTGTGTGTGTGTGTGTGTTTCCTTCAAATTCAAGAAACAGGGAGCACACTGGTATAGACACACAGCGCTCTGGCCTCATGCTTTCCCACTTCTCCCTTGGATCTTGCTCGAGAAGAAGGCCCTCCTGAAACTGATGGGACCCTTACGTAACCCTGCATGTTTCTACATGTTGCTGGCTCTCTTCTGGAAAAGGCAAACTCCCTGAATAGCGGACACTCAGCAGTTATAGGCTAGACCACGGGGAGTGAGTCTGTAAGAGCAAATAAACACCCGCCACCCCACCTCGGAGCGTCCAGGCTAATACATCAAATACATTTGCCTGTGGGTAAATAAAGACCCACTGGCTGTCCCACTGAATCTCAGTAGTAAGTTTCACCCTGGGGTGATATTTTACTGCTATTGCCCTTGGAGTCAGTAAATATTTGTATGGAAAATATTATGCAACACCCTGTTCCTGTTATTCCGACACCACTGGTTTCGAGAACCTAAAACATTTTTGTAAACTTACCTTTATTTTGGCATTGAACCTCTGTCTCTGTTGGTTTTTTTCCAGTATAACTTTCAACCTTTGAAAAGTTTATTAAGTTTGCAACTCTGAAATCAGGAATATTTCTTTTGCATAAAAACAGACTTTTAATTTTGCACACTGGCCAAGACATGGTGTCTGCTCTCTTATTCCTAGCATGGAAGCTCTGTGGGCAAGAAATTGCTGAGAAACAGAATGTTCAAGAACTCTTGCTGAAGCACAGGAAAATGGGAAGTTAAGAGGAGGCCGTTCGAGTGGACCCTAATCCAGTGTGCCTAGTGTCCTTATGACAATGGGAAAGTTGGACACACAGACACATAGAAGCAAAATGATCTGCAAGTACAAGTAGAATACCTGTCATAAACCAAGCCAGAGGCCACGGCTAGGAAATAGGAGTGGAACAGATTCTCCCTCACAGCACTTGGAAGGAACCCACTCTGCTGACACCTCGATTTGGACTTCTAGTCTCCAGAACAGTGAGGCTCTGGCAAAGACGGGGAATGACTGAAAATAGGCTCTGAATTTTTGGCAGCTAATTCTTATCACAAAGGAGTGGTCAAAATAAAAAAGGTAAAAGAGCGAGGAAGGAAAAGGCTGAGTACTTGACTCGCAAAGGTCTTGGATGAGAAATGAGTGGGGCTGAGGTATAGTTGCCTGAGGCCAGCAATGCCCGGGGACAGAGAAACGAAGGGGAACCTCCTTCCTGATAAAATGTCCCAACATCTCACAAGGATTGAAGCAAGGAAGCAGATTAACATTTTATCTTTGGTAATTCATGATAGAGTATGTGCATGAGATGGTGAGGAGGCACCCGCCATGGGGCTCACTCATGCCATGATCCCCTTCATCCAGTTCTGTACCTGCCAGAATCCTGGGCACATGAGTGCACCCAGCATGTTTTCAGACCAGCTGGGCCAGGGACTTGAACTGCAGTCAGCATGTGGCGTCTAGGGCCACAGACCAGTATGCTACTGACTGTACTACGGAGGCCAGGCCACATTTACTTTTTTTATTTTTACTTTTTATTTTGCTATAGGGCATGTGACCTCACTGGAGAGAGAGAGAGAGAAAGAGAGAGAGTATCCCCAAGGGGGAATGGCCATGCTGCAATCTCCTCTCCAATCTCCTATCGGAATTTTGGGCACACACGCGCACACACACACTCAATGTGTTTCCAAGCTACTGGGTCTGGGACTCGAACCACAGAGTTAGCCAGGTAGGATCCAGCTGCCTTAATTGCCACGTACCAGCTGGCCTCACCACATTAAATTTTAAAGTCAACCTTTCAGAACAAAGAGATGAAAAAGAAATCATCTTTGCCCATTGTTGGGGGCTTATAACAGCACACCCCTTAAAGGGAGATCCAAGCCACGGCAGTGGGAACGGCAGGAACATATCAGTGTGAGTTCTAGTAACACACAGATCACTCAGTCATTCAGACAGCACAGACTGTGCACCCACTGTGTGCCAGTAGGTACTCAGATCCCGCTCTGATGGGGTCTCAGGGGAAGAAGCGCCTTGAGGAGACAGAGAGGGGAAGGAGCAAACCCGCTGACCTCATGGTTTTGCCAGCAGCAGGCCAGTATAGTTCATTCGTGTTTGATACAAACAAAAGTCAGGCTAAAGAGGATTCCCGCTGCACACGGCTGCATCTGAGACCTAGACACCCACCCAGCTGGAGCATAACATGAGCAAGGACGAGACAGCGCTGAGGCTTCGCGGATCTACCTCGGGTAAGCCTGAGTCGACGCACAGGTGGGCTGCTCTGCTGGGGAGGATGCTACCATCCACACATAGACTATCCCAGGACACACGACAGCACACACCTGGGCGGGCAGGGTTCCGTGTTACAGGCTTGGCTCATCGCTGGAGGACGGTGGACGATATCACACAAGCTGTCGTTGACCGTCTGCTGGGTCTGGATGTGCAAGCACACTGCTATGGCTTCTTGATGGCCTGGAGGTTGAGCAGAGACAAATGTACAAATGATGTAGAATTTATTATGGAAAAAAAATCAAACAGGGTGTTGGGTTTCCTCATTCTTAGGTCACCGACTTCATGGGGCTGTGGGCTCTACTTCAGGGCTTGGGGAACAAACAGTTTTGCATTATCTGTAAAGTCTTCCAGTCTGACAGTCCCTTCATTCACCTTAACTTGGGGGCTGTGGGCTCTACTTCAGGGCTTGGGGAACAAACAGTTTTGCATTATCTGTAAAGTCTTCCAGTCTTTGACAGTCCCTTCATTCACCTTCTTAACTTGTTCCCCAAACCTAGTCAACTGGAAATATTCAGAGGCATCCAACTGCCCTTCCTCCCCCAGACACACCCACATTCCAAGTGTGTGCAGAGCTAGAAGTTTTTCCAGATGAATCATGTAGGTGGTTCCTTCAAACATAGACAATAGCTCCCATCAGAAGAATTTCCATCTCATGTGCTAAATAGCATCTTCTCTATATCATTGCACGGGTAGGTCTGAGGCAGAGCTCTTTTGAAAACTGGCCTCATGGCTTGAGTTCCTGTTCACAGTTACTGCAGCTCGTAACATGTCTACTGTGAGCAAAAACCACTGTAATGTCTCCCATTGAGACGGTGTTCAAAGTGCTTTCAAATGAATTATTTGAGGCGTAATGATTTTGTCAAAAGACTGATATCATGATCTCCATCTTGTTAATTTAATAATAAGGAGGGCTGGCCCTGTAGCACAATGATTAAGCCCTGTCTATAGGGAGCTGGATCCCACATGGTTGACCATGGTTTGAATCTCAGACTGGTGGCTTGAAAAGCATGTCGGGTGTACAGGTGTGTGTGCTCTACATCCGGATGAGATTGAGAAATAGAGGAGAGACTGCAGCAAGACCACGTCCCACTGGGGGAACTTTCTCTCTCTGTTCTTTCTGTTGAGCACACACCCTTCCCCCCCACCCCCCGCAATGAAAAAAATATGAAGGAAACTGAGGTGTAAAGAGAAGTTAAGAAAGCAAAAAAGCAATAGATTCAAAACTAAAATTGAATTCCCTCCTAAGGCAGAAGCCTTTCTTCTGTACCCCAGGAATTCCAGAAAGCAATATAATCACCCAGTTTCTGAAGTGACTACTGCTTGTCCACATATGAACTTTCACAAGCATATTTCTCCTTTGAGGCCGGACAGGACTGTCTGACCCCAAAGCCCATGCTCTCAACCATGGTTCTTTGTTGAGACCAAAAAAGAATCACTGAGAAATCAGAACTAAACTATAAATCGAACTGTTCATGGAAAAAAAAGAAATAAAAACTCACAGCAATTGACTACGCTATTTGAAATATGCAAATGGATTTCATTTCATGCAAGAATGTGTGCTCCATTGTGTTACAAGACTGTGGTTTGTTTTCCAAATGCCATGTTTCAACTCAACCATTGTATAGCATTTTACAGAATGCAGTATTGGCCAACGATACTTGTAAATGATATATTTGTGATGTTCAGTTCTTTCCAATCAATTTTCTCCTGCTGTCTTTGGTTGTAATTTTATGTTCCTTGCCATGGCAGGACTCAGTCCTAAGTCTGCTGCATATTCCATGAGCTTTTAAGTAAATACTGGCTAACCTGAGATACCCAGAGACATCGCTACGACTTAATAACTCTGGCTCTTATTTGCAAATATTCAAACTTCCTTAGTGACCTTATAAGGATATAAATGCCCACTTTCTAGGAGGTTTTATTCATTTCCTAATCTGAGAAAAATCCAGTGATATTTTAGTTTATCATAAAAATACTTTAAAAAATATATTCACAGATTATTTTGGTTAAGTTTTCTGGAGATTGAACGGGTGGGCCTTAAAGCATCATTTTAATCTTTTTGAATAAAATTTTACAACACTTGTGACAAATCTGCCTTTCTGTCTAAAGCAGGTTTACTGAAAATAATGTAAAAGCTTATAGGCTTAGAGCCAGCAGGTGGCATGGGGGTTAAAGTGCTGGACTTCCACGTGTTCGACCATGGTTCAAGTCCTGGACCCAGTGGCTTGAAACACACTGGGAACATGTGTGTGTGTGTGTGCCCAAAATACCAAAAGGAGAATGGAGAAGGGACAGCTGTGAGGCCATCCCCCCAGGGGGTGATTTCTCACTTTCTGTCTCTCTAGCGAGCACATCAGCCCTAAAGCAAAAGTCTCTCTCTCTCTCAAAAAAAAAAATTAATTAATAATTTTAAAAAATTAAAAATATAAAAGGTTTACAGGTCAGTACTTTGACCTGGTGGTTAAGGGAGCTGGATTCCTTTTGTAGCCTAAGGCAATCTCCTTCCACTCACATTTTATTTTTGCAATGTTAAAACTAGTTAAAGTCTTCATCAATAAAAAAGTTGATAATTAAATATAAAAACACAGTCTCTAGGGGGAGAAACTGAGCCAATAAAACGAGTGACTACTTCACTTTTAATTGATAAAGGTTAGTCTGAGTGGGGTGTCTGTCCCTTGCAAATCTGAGATTTGACAAGGTCAACATGTCAAATCACACACACACACACACACACACACACACACACACACACACACAGAGGCATACATGCGTTAAAAATAAGGAAATGAAGAAAACAGCAGTCGGAGTTCGAACACGGTGGTGCAGCAGCAGCACAATGCTCTACAATGCTGGAAGCCATATGGACAGTCAGGGTTCGGTTCCCGGCTTAACCTGTACCTGCTGGTGTGCACACTTGTGCTTGTGATACCGGCTGGCTGGGAAGCCTGTGGGGAGGACTGTGGTCTCTCTATGCCTCTTTTTCTTTGTCTGTCTCTCTCATGAAATAAGTAAGTAAATAAACTTTTTTAAAAAGGTCATCATCACAGATCCAGCAGGTGGCACAGTGGTTAAGGAGCTTCACTCCCACATGGCTGACTACAGTTTGAATCCCGAACCTTGTGGCTAGAACATCATACTGGGTGTGTGTGCGTGCATGCCCAAAATCCTGAGAGGAAAATGAGAAGGGATATGGCATGGCCATTCCTCCTGGAGATGGGGGGAGTGACTTCTCACTTTCCCTCTCACTGTTTCTCTTCAGCAAATGCATGTGCCCTATGGCAAAAATCTGAAGAGATTAAAAAAAAAAGTCATGATGAACTAACTCAATTCTCTGTAGACAAGGTCTCATTTAAAAAAAAAAATAGAAGAAATGAAAATCTATAGCTGAGTCTTTAAGGTGCCATCTAGTATTTAGTGCATCGTGTTATAAAATAAATATGAAAAAATAATTTGCATAAGAAAATTCTTTTAATAATCCAATACATTGAAAAAATAATTTGCATAAGAAAATTCTTTTGATTTAATAATCCAATACACAGACTTTTGTCTTAGCAATAGGTGCAATATTTTCTTTAAGCATCCTTAGAATAGTAACAGAATCGAATTCCGTATTAATCTGTAAAGAAAACTGTGGCAAGTTCCGAAAGTCATGAATTGTGCAGATAATGTTCTCTGACTGTAATAAAGCCCCAACTGTAAACTGAATAATAAAATAATTGAATCCCCCCAAATCTAACCATCAGCATTTCTTTTGTTGTTGTCGTCTTTTTTTTTTTTTTTTTGAGAGAGATTTTTGCTACTGGATGCGTGTACTCACTGGACAGACAGACAGAGACAGAGAGACAGAAAGTGATAAATCACTGCCCAGGGGGGGCTGGTCATACTTCAATCCCTTCTCCTCCATTCTCCTCTAGGGACCTTGGGCACACATGCACCTGGTGAGTTTTAAGCTGCCAGGTCCGAGACTTGAACCGCGGTCAACTACATGGGAGTCCAGCAACATAAACATTACACCATCTGCTGGTCTCACTGTCAGCAATTTTTAAAAGTCGTAGGTCAAAGAGTAAATAGATTACATGCTATCTGTGGCAAAAAAAAAAGGGAGAAGAGGGAAGCTTAAAGCAACTTGAGCCAGATGGCAACTCTAGATAGTAAATTTTAGTATCATTGTGAAATTAGTTACTGCTTTTCCAAGCAAATCTAAATTATAGAATTTGCTTTAAAAAAATGAAGAATTTGGGACCAGCAGTTAGTGTAATGGCTATGTTGCTGAACTCCCATGTAGCTGACCGCAGTTCGAGTCCCGGACCCGGGGGCTTAAACTCACGCCGGGTGCACGTGCATTCCATGCCCAGGATCCCAAGAGGAGAATGAAGGAGAAGGGACTGTGGTGTGGTCAACCCCTCTGAGGGGTGATTTCTCGCTTTCTCTCTTTCTGTCCATCTTTGTCTTTTTGGTGAGTACACGCACCCTATAGCAAAAACCTCTCCAAAAAAAATGAAGAATTTGAGCCTAGCGATTAGTAGGTAGCACATGGCTGGGTGTTGCTGAGGCTGGCTGAGGCCACATGGGAGGCCATTCTCAGCCTACTCTAAAAGTCCCAGCTACTTGAGGAAGCTGAGGCAGGAGGATTGTGAAACAGTAAGACCCTGTTTAGAACCTGGACTGAATACAGCAATAAGCAGGGGAGAAATCTGCAAATGATATTAAAGACAGAGGTATGATGCTCCTCTTCAGTCCTGCTCCCACAAAGGAAAACAAAACAAAACAAAACAACTATATTTAGACATTGGGAGAACTGGCTCTTCTAAATGTTTGAAAAAAATTACTTATTATTTTTGAGAGATTTTGCTATACAGTACATGTGCTCACCAGAGAGACAGAAAAAGTGAGAAGTCACCTCCTGAGGGTTGATGGCTATGCCACAGCCCCTTCTTCTCCATTCTCCTCTTGAGATTTTGGGCATGCCCACACACATACCCAGAATGAGTTTCAAGCCACCAGGTTCAGAACTCGAACCATGGTCAACCATATGGGAGTCCAGCACCTTAACTACTATGTCACCTGTTGGCCCCTAATTACTATTTTTTAAAGTTTGCTATAGGGCACATGTGCTCACTAGAAAGAGACAGAGAGAGACAGACAGAGAGAGAAGGAAAGTGAGAAAGTAAGCCACCAGGTCTGGGACTTGAACCATGGTCACCCACATGGGAGTCCAGCGATATAGCCATTACTCCAACTGCTGGACCCTCAACATACCTTTTTTTTAA